ATTCAAAAACATTTTCTCTTTCCACCCTGATAGAGAAACGTGTGTTGCTGTTTAGGATTGAACTCACAATATTTCAAGGGACACAAGCATTTTCACCTCTAGGCCACTGCACCACCCTTCATACTTTCTCATTAATCATACTGTTAGTCACAGGTTAGGTAATAATTTGGCAGACTTTCTCTGCCAAATTTCTTTTGGCTTGCTTTCACATTTCATTGACCCACCAAATTTCTTCTCTTTCTGCATCAATTTCCATTGTGGATGTTTGTGACTTCAGGGTGCCTCTGAATGTCATACTTTCATCTTCCACGGCAAAGTTATGTTATCCCAGAATACAGATAAACTGCATTGTTGAAACCTACAAACACTGCAAGAGGCAGTATGGTTCATTTAACCTATGATTTCAACAGGTCTTGGAGGTTCTGATAGCTCTGCATTGATTTTGCACCATATATTTCTACAGTATATACAGAATTTTATCTGGTTTTCAGTTTTTGAATCTTTCAATTAGATAACCCCTATTATATGCCCACTGGATCTGGTTAGCCAATTAATTTTTACTCAGAAGAATATAGCTGTGTTATCCTTGCCTGTTATCATTGCCTATGTGCTTTGTAGCAATCTCTAAACTACAGCATATATCATTTTTCCCTCTCTCTCATCTTTTATTTCCCAAAGTTTAGTTCCCAATCTTTATCTTCCAGTCTGCCCTTTGACTTTTGATAGGAATGTATCAACCTAACCACATACAAAAGCAGTTTAAATCTTTGGTTGATCTCCACTTAACTGCAATGATAATCTTTCTTGTATGTGAGAATGACATGTTAAAAGAATTATTTACTCTTTAGGGTGATCTTTAATTCTATTCCAACAAAGTGGTCTTGTGCTCAAAATCTCTTTTCTTTCAAAGGTAGTATCATTCCAACCATCCCAATTCTATTTCCATTCATGTAAACTGGATTGCATATTTGTTAGATTTGTTAGATTTTCAAAGACAATCTCAACTATTTGTTGAGAATGAGGTTTCCAGTTTTATTCATTGTGGAAATATTATTGAAGGAATACTTAAGGTCATACTTGTCCTTTACATAGGCTGTTCCATCTTGGCTTGAAATTGGCATCTGATTTTTCGCCTTTTAGGTAAGATTATTAGGTACCTCTATATGTAATGTAAAGAGACCATAATGAAGGATAACAGGCTCTTATCTGTAGCCTTTGTTCTTCCTACAGCCATCAGTGCATTTACACAACCCAGCCACGTTTTTGCTTACACCAGCATGCATTCTGTATTTCTGATGCTGCTAAGTTGTCCTAAGAAACATAGAGGAGATCTGGAGCCCCACCTACAAGATATTCAGGGGGTAGATTTCCCACCTAAAATCTTCTTATCTAAAGAAATCCCCTGACATAAACTCTGCACAGGTATGGAATCCCATATGAATGAACGCACAGATGATTACTCAGAGAATACCATTGTAGGTGTGCAGTCATTTCAATATTAGCACCCTGTATATTCCTTGTAAGTATAAGAACTGACCTGCTTAACAAAATTGCTAAAATAGTGCATATAAACTGAATTATATATACTAAATATATCACCAGAATTCAGCCATCCATCCAGAAAAAGCAGCAGTTAAAAGTAGTAAATAGTCTTTCTTTTTTTCTTTTTATCCAAGTCACACCATTTTTCCTGATGTGAGTAAAAAAGAGGATGGAGAAAATTGAGTTTGAAAAAAGTACAAAACTATAAACTGATTTTAGGCCAATTCAGTTTTTATAACAATAGAATTAATTAGTTTACATCAGTTTTATTAAGCATTTAATTAAATATTTCTTATCACTGTAAATCATCAACCTAGCAATGATTTTGAGAAAAAAAAGTATGGTTGAGTTAATGCAGTAGTTCTCATTGATTTTCTAATGTTTCTTCTTTTCCATCTCTCAAATCTTGCTTTATTTGTTTTGTTTAGGATTATGTTGGTGATCTGGCTGCTCAGATATCTAATGATGAAGAGGAGGAATTTGTGATAGAATGCTTGGGAACATTGGCTAATTTGACCTTATCTGATTTAGACTGGGAACTTGTGTTAAAAGAGTACAAAATGGTACCATATCTGAAAGATAAATTAAAGCCAGGTCTGTATCTTTAGCTTTTTCAGTTTAAACGTTTTATTCATTTTCATTTTCAATTTTGTACATTCACTTATATACTGGATATTTACGATAATAATAATAAGAAAAGAAAAACCCCAACCTAAACACAACTCATAAACCCAACCTATCACTTTCATACACCCCTTCTTCTCCCCCTCCAACTTTCCTTTCTCCCTCCAACAATCACCCCTCCTACTTCCCTTTCCCCTCCTGCCTTCCTTTCTCGCCTTCCTCACCCTCCTTCCCCTCTCATCCTTACATTCCCCTCTTCCTCCCTCCTTACTTCTCCCTCTTCCTTTCCTCCACTTCTCACTATGGTGCATTTCTCTATTCCTTTTACGCTAAAAAGAAAAAAGAAAAGAAAAAAAAAGAGAAAAATAAAAAGAAAAGATAAGGATCAACAGTATACAAGTGTATTCTTCTTATTCTATATATTGTAAATATCCAGTATATAAGTGAATGTACAAAATTGAAAATGAAAATGAATAAAACGTTTAAACTGAAAAAGCTA